TTCCTCCTATACAATATAGCATTTCCTGTATTATGGCTCAGGTTCGTTTGATAGGTAACAATACCGCCCTGCGTGCTTCTTCTTCCATGTCAGAGTTCTGTCTGCTTAAGTCTTTTAAGGTTAATATCAATTATCCTCGGACTCCCAAAATTATTGAAGTTCTTCGACATCCTCTGCTTTGAATTATATTAAGTGTAATTGTGACGACTCTTTTGAGAATACCTCAAGTGGTTGCGGTGGGATCTTCAGAAACTCCCTTGAGAATTTTTCGTTAGCTTTTGCTGAACCGACTTTAGTTCCTAATTCATTACATGCAGAATTCTCTGTTGTTTTTCGAGCGGTTGAGCTTGCTAGAGATAAAACATTGTTAAAGCTTTGAATTGAGAGTGACTCTTCTGTTGTGGTCCAAACTTTTTTTCTAAGGAGACTTTGATTCCTTGGCAGCTTAGAAATAGGTAGTTACGTTGTAAAAAAATTATCGAAACCATAACTTTTATTATTACGTATATTTTCAGAGAAAATAATTCTTGTGTGATTTTTTTGCTAGTTTAGGCTGCAATTCTTCATCCCTTACTTTTTTTGATGCCATCCTCTTAACTATTAAATGTTATTTTGTAAAAAATAAATTAGAGATGAGCTTTTTCAAGTTTGTTAATGTTTAAAAAGGTCTTGGCCTAATTCACCTCTCCTTTTTGTGTACCACTTTTTCTCTTTTAATATGTAGCCTTATTAAAAAAAAAGTACTTAATATGTACACCTTTTTGAAAAATATTGAATATCCTTCCAAAAAAAAAGTCGGGTTTTTTAGTTTTACTTAGCTAAACGGACTTTTAACACTTGGTTCGGGTACCCACTTGCCCAACTAAAAATACCCGTCATCATCACCTTTGTTTCAACCTTTAACCCGAAATCCACCATACGAGGTGGCGGTCGCAACACTCCTCGCAAACGTTCCATTCGCAAAACAGAAGCGCCGAATTCCACTACCCATACCTCAAACGTTCCATGTTAGCTTTTTCCTTTTCAAAATCACCGCTAACCCTAAATTGAATTAGGGTTTTCTCCCTCACTCAAATTCCGTCACAGAAACCAACCAATTAACCAGTAATGTCGAAAAGGAAGTTCGGATTCGAAGGTTTCGGCATAAACCGCCAATCCACCTACAGTTTCGAACGATCTCAACCTCCTCAACGACTCTACGTCCCTCCCTCCTCTCGTAAAACCCACGACAACTACGAGGATAACGACCTAGACAACATCGACTACGACGAAGATGCCACAGAAGAGCCCAGCAACAACAACAACGACGACAGTAATGGTGGCGGTCAGGAGGAGGAGGAAATTGATCCATTGGATGCTTTTATGGAAGGGATACACGAAGAAATGAAGGCGGCGCCGGCACCGAAACCAAAGGAGAAGGTGGAGGATAGATTTAAAGACGATGAAGAGGATCCTGTGGAGAGTTTTTTGAGGGCGAAGAAGGATTTAGGGTTGACGTTAGCGTCTGATGCGCTGCATGCTGGGTATGATTCCGATGAGGAGGTTTATGCGGCTGCTAAGGCTGTGGATGCTGGTATGATTGATTATGATTCTGATGATAACCCTATTGTTGTTGATAAGAAGAAAATTGAACCTATAGCTCCTCTTGATCATGCGGAAATTGATTATGAGCCTTTTACTAAGGATTTTTATGAGGAGACACCTTCAATATCAGGTAACATTACACAACCCTGAAGTTGTATTGTTATGTTGATTCAGAGTTGTGCCACTTAGCTGCTTTTTGTAGTGTGTTACTGTCTTGATATTTCGTATGCAAGATGGTTCTTTAAGGCCCTGGTTGGATCAACAACTTAATTAATTAAGGGCTTGTAGCATAAAACTTATCATATAGGTGTTAATGTATAAGCTGTTAGTATAACAAAGTTTAAGATAAGTCAAACTATTTTCACGAGCTATCCGAGAGAGCTTATGGACCTGTCATAGGCTGTTTATATAAGCTCTCTCGAACACTTTTAGAACTCAGAAGTACTTTTGCTAGTACTAGTAGACAATTTTAAAGAATTCAATCTAAACATACCCCTAGTTTATGAGTTAACTAAGATTGAATGTTTGGCACTCTTGTGTTTTTTGTTTCTGCTTGATACAGGTATGAGTGAGCAAGATGTAATCGAATACAGGAAGAGTTTGGCTATTCGAGTATCAGGTTTTGATGTTCCTAAGCCTGTTAAAACTTTTGAGGACTGTGGGTTTGCTTCACAAATTATGTCTGCTATAAAGAAACAAGGTTATGAGAAGCCCACGTCTATACAATGTCAGGCATTACCGGTTGTTCTTTCTGGTAGAGATATTATTGGCATAGCAAAAACTGGTTCCGGTAAAACTGCTGCTTTTGTGCTTCCTATGATTGTGCATATCATGGATCAGCCTGAACTTCAGAAAGAGGAAGGTCCTATAGGAGTGATATGTGCACCTACAAGAGAATTAGCACATCAGATATATCTAGAGGCCAAGAAATTTGCTAAAGCATATGGTATACGCGTTTCTGCTGTCTATGGTGGAATGTCAAAACTTGAACAATTCAAAGAACTCAAGGCAGGCTGTGAGATTGTTGTCGCCACTCCTGGGAGATTGATAGACATGCTAAAAATGAAGGCATTGACAATGCTGAGAGCAACTTACCTGGTACTTGATGAGGCTGATCGAATGTTTGATTTGGGATTTGAGCCACAAGTAAGGTCCATTGTTGGTCAGATTAGGCCCGACCGCCAAACTTTGCTCTTTTCTGCAACAATGCCTCGCAAAGTTGAAAAGTTAGCCAGGGAAATCCTTTCCGATCCTACCAGAGTGACAGTGGGGGAAGTGGGGATGGCAAATGAAGATATTACTCAAGTTGTTCAAGTAATTCCTTCCGATTCTGAGAAATTGCCGTGGCTTCTGGAGAAGCTGCCTGAAATGATCGATCAAGGTGATACATTAGTTTTTGCTTCCAAGAAGGCCACTGTAGATGAAATTGAATCACAATTGGGTCAGAGAGGCTTTAAAGTTGCTGCCCTGCATGGTGATAAGGATCAATCTTCTCGTATGGATATTTTACAAAAATTTAAATCTGGCACTTACCACGTGCTTATTGCAACTGATGTCGCTGCTCGTGGTCTTGATATCAAGTCAATTAAAACAGTGGTCAACTTTGATATTGCTAAAGATATGGACATGCACGTCCATCGCATTGGAAGAACGGGTCGTGCTGGTGACAAGGACGGAGTTGCATACACTCTTATAACTCAAAAAGAAGCACGGTTTGCTGGTGAATTGGTTAATAGTTTAGTTGCTGCTGGTCAAAATGTATCCACGGAGTTGACAGAACTTGCCATGAAGGTAATGATGCCCTATACTTCATCACGGTTATTGATGGTTATGCAATTGATTTCATGGTTGCAGACTCTCGTATCGTATTCATGTATTTATTGTTGGTTCACGCAGTTGTAGATTTTGTACAATCTATTACTCACCCCCTTATGCTATTTACAGGCCAAAAATGATATTAATTAGTACATGTTTCTTGAATGTTGTATATTAGTGTGTTTGATGGCATGATTGAGGTAGGTTTTGAAGAAGCTGGCCGTCAGAAACAAATTTGATGGAAGTTTATATATCTAAAGGTTTCTTAGGTTTGACTGTTTGAGACTATCTGATCTGATCATTATAAAGATATTATTAAAGTGATTGAATTGCTCTTTTTGAAAGATGAAATGGTTCCTGAACAAAATAAAGGGTTTGTGAGTAGTTGAATATAAACAAAGACCAGACAAGCATTTGGGTAGTAAAATCTAGTTGGTTGAACACTTTGGTAAAATTATGGTAAGAAAGACTTATTTTTTAGGCTCTAAATGTTCTTGACTGCTCAGCTTTACGCTTCAAAGAAGTTGTTTGGATGAGTATAAATTTGGCATTTTGTGAGTTGTGTTAGATTGTCCCGTCTCCCTGTGTTGACCTCATCATGTAGGCTTTCCCTAATAATCTTTACTTCTTATGACTAGGGTTTGTTGTGTGGTGGTTTTCTCTTTTAATAATACATTTATTTTCTTCACAAAGCGTATGTCTTTTGTCTCTAAAAACTATTCTCATGATATTTTATGATGATGCTATAAGGTTCAGTTCTCTTGTTGGTGTCTTGAAATTACTAATTGATTTTTGTCTTGTAATTCCATAGGATGGGAGATTCAGGTCGAAACGTGATGCGAGAAAAGGAGGTATGATATTTGACTTGCATGCTAATGCCTATAGAATAGAAAGCTGATATTGATATAACACACACAACTTAAGCACTAATAAGCCGTATCCTTATCCCTCTACAAAAGAGTCATGATATTGGCAGCATGCTTGATTGGTGAATCTCTTTATTTACATTTCTTGTGTTGTGCAGGTGGGAGAAAAGGCAAAGGCAGGGGTGGGGGTGTGGGTGGCAAAGGCGTGCGTGGGGTGGATTTTGGCTTGGGCATTGGATATAGTTCGGAGTCAAACAATGCACCATCTAACTCAGTTCCAAATCGGTCCGCTGCTGTAAATTCTCTGCGAACAGGGATGATGTCCCAATTTAGGAGTAGCTTCGTTGCTGCATCATCAAACTCCCAAAATGGAGGACTCGGTAATAATCCAAGCATGGCTGTTAATAAGAGACCAGCACTCGCTGGCTTTGTATCTGGTGGATCAATTGGAGGCGATATAAATACTCATCAGCAAACTTCTTCATACAATCCTGCTACATCAGCCGTAAATTCCACCAGTCAAAGTCCTGGAGTAAATCCTGGTCAGAACAACACAAACAGGTTACTTTTCTAAGCTGAACTTGCTTCTTACATATCTTTCTTTTTTCCGCTTCTTACATATCTTTATTGGTTAGTTACTTTGGTTGCTGATAAAGTTCTTGTTTTTTTCCTTCTTCTGCAGTAGTTTCAAGCCTAGAGAAAGGCGGAGGCCATCTGGGTGGGATAGATAATTTGTCAGCACCACTGTCGCACATATGAATGCTCATATTTATAGGTGAAGTGTTTATTTGATGTGTCCTGTATTATCAAATGATAGAGCAGAGTAAACAGAAATGAAAAACACTGGGAATTGTATTGAATATTGAAAAAGGAGGGCAAACTCTCGTACAAATATTCCAGAAGTAAGAGAACACTCTCTCTTTCTCTGCTTCTACCTCTACGTGTTGTACCAGAATAATGATGACATGAATGAGCCAAACCTCTACATCCACTGCTCCTTATTGGAAAGATTCTAACTAAATGGTCTTTGTTGTAAGGGAGCAAGTTCTTAGAAGATCTTTGTATATTTGAATTTGCCATACTTTTTTGTATTGCTACTTAGTTGCTTTAAATACTCACTATCTTAAACTTAACCCACTAGATATGTCGATTGCAATTTGTTTTCAAACTTTTGCAGCTTCAATTTGAAGAACAGCCCAGATTCAATTTTAATTCTCTTTAAAACTTTTAAACTACAAGGGTTAAGTTACTTTTCAATTTGCAATTAAGAACAACAATATGATAAGACAAACTAATTTACCTCCTGAGATTGGTACGTACTCTTTGGATATTAGGGAAGATACCGGTAATATCCCCAACTCAACACCAGAAATAATAGAAGATTTGAGAATAATTATCTGTTGATGAAGAATTAGTGGCAAGAGATAGAATAATAAGAGAAGAAAATTCAGAAATGAGATAATGGTTTTCTTTCATTCATCATGTCGTATTGGCTAAATAGAGCAAATGGTTACAACCCAACCAAACATTGCTAATGGAATCATGACACGCCATTCTACTAGAATGCTTAATAAGACAAAATAGGTAAAATAACAAAAGGAAAGCTGAATAATAAAATCCTATACCCTCCTCTTTCACATCATTCATTTCTTCGTGGATGAAAATTTGGAAATTTCTTAAGGAGATCATAATAGAATTCGCAAGTGGCTTTGTGAAGAGGCATATCTTTCCATTGAACCAAAATTTTGGTAGCTGCCATGCAACTTCGTTCTATCTTTTTCGATCCAGAATGGCCACATGAGACTTGTTGTGAGGGTCGGGCGCAGTAGATAAGTGTTGAACCGGTTGACTTTGAGGATTGGGGCATAGTTTCAATTGGGACACGCAGCGGCTCCCACACGATCCTCAATCCAAAACCGGCCATAAAACTTAGGAAGTAACTTGTGGACAACATGAGGTTTCAAGGAATTTGTCTGTAAAGATGCAGTTTAAGGTAAACATAGTCCCCGGTAGCAAATACCACACCACTCATATGTTTATCTTCTTGCTGTGTCATTAGATTATGAGTGCGTGAGAGATAGAACTTAAGGAGATTAATGGCTTATTCTCTCCACATTCAGATTTGCTGCAGAATTGGGTAAATAAGGCAAATAGGTATGTGATGGTTGGCCATACACCACCTCAAAGGGTGATATGAGTGGATGAATGATAATTTGTGTTATACCACCATTCAATCAAAGAAAGCCATTTATGCCACTGGTTCAGTTGCTCAGATGTCATGCATCGAAGGTAGGTTTCGAGGCATTTATTGACCACCTCCGTTTGGCCATCAGTTTGGGGATGGTAGACTGAATATTTCTGCAGTTCTTGGAGCTTGAAAAACTCTCGCTAGAAGGTACTGAGAAAGATTGAGTCGTGGTCACTAGTTATTGTCTACGGCAGGCCATGTAATTTGAATACAGTGTCAAGGAAAATTTGTGCCACATCCAAAGCCGTGTAAGAATGAGCCAATGCCATGAAATGTGCATATTTGCCAAGTCTATCGACCACCACAAATATGACTTGTTTACCTGCAGATAGTGGGAGGCCCTCCACAAAGTCCATGCTAATGTGAGTCCAAATAAGGTTTGAAATAGAGTGACTGTAAGAGACTCGGGTAGGCCTTCAAATCAGATTTGCTTTTATGACAAATGGTACTGTTCTTAACAAAGTGAAGAATGTCTTTTGTCATACCTTTCCAACATAACAATGGCTTAACTCTACTAGTAGTCACATCCATGCTGGAATGCCCTCCAATAGCTGAACTATGTGTTGGAAATCTTGGTATGATGTAAACTTGAAGTGGGAGTTGGAATAATTTATTGACATTAAATGGGCAATAAATGAGCACAAGTAAGAACTAGTATGGAAGTAAATTTGAAAAGATTCATTTTAGTCCCACATAGGAGGGATTATAAATACTAGTAGTGTATATATATTTCAACTTGGACAATAGTGAGGACACACCCATAAGTCATCTAGACACACGCGCGCCGCCGTCCGGCCGGCTCGGTCCGGATAAATTAATCTTTTTGAACCGAATTAGTGGAAATTAATTAATCTTTCTTAACCTAATTATTGATTGACCAAGTAAAATAACTGTCACCTTTGACTGGGTCAATTCCACCTCTCCCATCACTTCATATCCAGATACTAAGACTGGTTAACTACCATCCGAAGGTGTCATTTTACGAACGACTAATTAGAGTGCAATTAATTGTCGTATTTTGAACGGGCTATTTTATCCTGGAGGCGTCGTCGAAACTCGACTGCTTTGCATTTATATTGACAGTACGACGAAACGTCTTAAAGAAAGCGGCCTACTACGCGACTCGTCCCGATAGTTTTCCTTTGTGCCATTTTTTTTTAAAATCTGGTTTCTACAATTTTAAGACGCTTTCATTACTGCCATGGCTACTGAAGAAATTATCGGTACTAGCGCTGCCGCTTCTGTCTTTGACAAACCATTTAAGTTTGAGGGTTCCAATTTCAAACGTTGGCAAGTTAAGATGAAATTTTTCTTAACTTTAAAGAAGGTTGCCCACGTTCTGACTGAGGATATCCCTGTAGCTCCATCTGGATCAAACGAACTAAGTAATGGAAAGTCAACCGTGGAATCAGACGGAACTTCTAAAACGTCTGACTTAGACTCCGCTGCTAAAGCTGCGGCAGATAACTTACAGCTCCGAAAAGAAATCGCCTTATGGCAAGAAAATGACTACCTCTGCAAAAATCACATTCTGAACAGTCTTGCTGATGATCTCTATGATTACTACAACAATTACAAGACTGCTAAACAGGTATGGGAGGCTCTGCAGAAGAAATATGATACTGAAGAAGCAGGTGCAAAAAAATATGCTGTCAGTCGCTACTTAAATTATAAAATGGTGGATGAAAGGTCTGTGGAAGCTCAAAGTCACGAGATACAGAAGATTGCTCATGAAATCATAACTGAAGATATGCCCCTCAATGAACAATTTCAGATTGCTGTTATAATTGACAAGCTGCCTCCTGGTTAGAAAGATTTTAAAAACTTACTCTGACATAAAACTAAAGAATTTTCAATCGAGAGTTTGATTACCCGCCTTCGAATTGAAGAGGAAGCTCGAAGACAAGATCAGAAAGATGAAGTCTTAGTTGTTTCAAACAACAAAAAGAAATTCGGTGTGGTTCTGAAGCCTACGGGCAAACCTTTAAAGAATCAGAACCGTAATACTGTGAATCGAATTAAGAATGGAAATCCCTCTAGGGCCCCATATACTCCAATTCCTAGGCAGCAACCACCATCCCAGAGAAATGATGTTCCGGTTTTCACTTGCTACAATTGTGGAAAACTGGGTCATACGGCTAAGAAATGTAAGAGCAGGCCTAAATCTGCTACTGGCCCAAATGCACAGGTTAACCTGACTGATGAGCAATTCATTGCTATGATCACTGAAGTCAACATGGTTGATGGAAGTGATGGTTTGTGGATAGACACTGGCGCCTCTCGTCATGTTTGTAATGATCGTGCTATGTTTAAGACATACATGAATACTGAAGATAAGAAAGTGTTGTTGGGAGATGCCCACACCACTAATGTTGCTGGAATTAGAGATGTTGAGCTGAAGTTCACTTCAGGAAAGACCTTGATCTTGAAGGACGTCATGCACGTTCCTGAAATTAGGAAGAATCTTGTTTCTGGTTTCCTTTTAAATAAGGCTGGGTTTAGTCAAACTATAGGGGCAGATTTGTACACCATCACTAAGAATGGTATTTTTGTTGGAAAAGGGTACGCCACTGATGGCATGTTTAAGTTAAATGTTGAGTTGAATAAAATTTGTCCTTCTGTTTATTTTCTGCGTGATTTTAATATTTGGCATGCTAGACTTTGTCACGTTAATAAGCGAATTATATATAATGCAAGCAACTTAGGCCTGATCCCCAAACTAAATGTCAATGATTCAAATAAATGTGAATATTGTACTCAAGCTAAGATAATTAAGACATCACATAAATCAATTCTAAGAGAATCTGATCCCCTAGATCTTATACACTCTGATATATGTGAATTAGATGGAACTTTGATTAGGAACAGTAAACGTTATTTTATCACCTTTATTGATGATTGCTCTGATTATACTTATGTATACTTAATGAAGAATAAAAGTGAAGCACTTGATATGTTTAAGTTGTATGTAATCGAAATTGAGAATCAACTTAGTAAGAAGATCAAGAGACTTCGTAGTGATAGGGGAACTGAATATGACTCTGGTCTATTTAATGACTTTTATAAAGAACATGGAATTATACATAAAACGACTGCTCCATATTCTCCTGAAATGAATGGTAAAGCAGAAAGAAAGAATAGAACTCTTACTGAATTTGTCGTTGCAATTATGATGAATTCTGGTGCTGCACCTCACTGGTGGGGGGAAATTTTATTGACTGTTTGCTATGTCCTGAATAGAATCCCCAAGTCAAAATGTAAGATCTCTCCTTACGAGATATTAAAGAAAAGACAACCAAACTTGTCTTATTTGAGAACTTGGGGCTCTCTGGCTTATGTCAGAATTCCGGATCCGAAACGAGTTAAACTCGCTAGTAGAGCATATGAATGTGTTTTCATTGGATATGCAGCAAACAGTAAAGCATATAGGTTTTATGACCTAATAGCAAAAATGATCATAGAATCAAATGATGTTGAATTCTATGAAGACAAATTTCCCTTCAAATTGAGAAATAGTGGGGGCACACAATCGAGTCACACTCCTATGATAAGAAGCACAGAATGCAACGACAATATAGAAACAGAACTTCGACGAAGTAAACGAATAAGAGTCACTAAAGACTATGGGCCTGACTATGCGACTTATAATATAGAAGAAGATCCAATGAATCTTCAAGAAGCCTTGTCTTCTCTGGATGCTGATTTATGGCAAGAGTTTATCAATGATGAGATAGAATCTCTAGAATCCAATAAGACCTGGAACTTAGTAGACTTGCCTCATGGTTGCAAACCAATTGGTTGTAAATGGGTTTTGAAAAGGAAACTAAAACCT